AGGGCTTTTGGGAGTCCCTATCTGCTCACATCACCGTAGCCAAAAATGAATGGGCGAATTCTCAATGAGTCAAGATGTTTTCCCTTAGCAAAATCCCTCAGTTTAGCGGTCGGAATTGCTTCCACCGCTAAACGCTCGAGTTCCCCGAAAAAAGGATGTTTGGAGTTGTTGCCCAGTGAGGAATGATAAGAGCCACTGTGATTTCGATATTTTTACCATCGGAATCCTTCCAACCGCTATGCTGTCCGATTTCCAACGAATGGTGATTTTAGAAATATGATATGAGCCTAACATTGGCAAGTGTTCATTAAAAGGGAGAAACATGATGAAATGGGCCGTTTTGGAAACATAGGAATTAGGCTAAGTGTTACTGCTCAGCACAGAAATCCTGTCAAGTATCAGTAACATAGGTTTAACCCTGCGCGCAGAAATGCGCGTCAGCCAGACTAGTCATACAATAATCAGGACGGCGAATAACCATAATATCCAAGTTTACATCAATTTGGGTGGAGAAGCTGAAAGCACCAGATTGTTACCCATTGGCGCCAGTTGGCGCCGGCATCTACAGTGGATGTCATATTCCTAATAAGAGCAACAAAAAGTTGACGCCAGCACCTTTCTGGTGCCTAATGACATCAGTCCTAAGAATGAGTGTCATATTTAATCACGACGTCAAATAACCCCAACACAGAAGTTTCTCCAGGTTTCGATGAAAAAAGTGGTGGCGTCAAATTGGCTCCTAATGACACCAAAGGACACCAAACAGCGCCGGGGTTAGGAACGGACGTCATATTCGTGATCAGGACACTAAGTAAACACTACAGGCAGTTTCCTAGGAGAAATTTTTTCAGAGATTTGATCTCAGGTGCTGCTAGTTAAATCGTGCCGAGGACCCTTATAACCGGAGACCTCGTTGGTCCACTATTGCTCAGATTGATAAAGTATGTAGAGTTGCTTCACTGAAAATTGCCTCAAAGAGCCTTGATTGTTTTAAAAATTTCATAAAAAGCCCGTCCGCCACATATTGTGGACATGGTTTCGAGTGACATTTCATGGACCACCACCAGTGATGGACATGGTCACGAATGGTTTCCACTTTGTCGTCTGTGTGACCTCAACCTCTTAGAATAGGTTGAACCTCTTTTAGAATTTTCTGGGGTAAAATTTGGGTATAAAGAGCAGCTTCTTTCTTCCCATATTCCATAAACTTAACCATAACGCTGTTTACTAATGAGCGCTGCACACTGATGCACCTCTCGCCCTGCTGCCCAAGGGGCATGCGCGGCGCAGTTGCAGCACGCATTTTACCCTAGGTCATCCTGGTGGTCACCACGTGCAGAAGAAGCATAGCATAAGCTCTAAAAGGAAAACGCAGCGGCTGTCAGAGAAAGAAACATGTTCTTATGACAACAGTGCAGTGATCAGCAGAAGAAAGACTGTCATGGGTAAAGAATAGAAAATATATTAGAAGGATTGGCTCTGAGATTCTTCAACTGACAGCACGGGTAAGCACTGTATAACATGTACACGCTTAAAGGACGATTGACGGCTTGGGAAGTTCACCTTTTCTTCTTTTGTTGGGAGCAACTTAGCTCTCAGTAATTGACGGTTGCCCTTGAAAAAATTACTTGACGTTGAGCTCGTCATCGAATTTTTTAAAACGGACAGCGAGATGTGGATTAGAGCCAGATATATTAAGTGTTCCTCTGGTTCCACTCAATGAAAAAAAACCACTGACATTCATTTCTGCTTTCTTTTTGCT